TTAAATTACTTAAATAAAGTATTTTAAATTAGCTTTAATTTTAAAATAAAATTAAATAAAATGCCTTAAATATTTATCACATAATTTAAAATCAATTTTTTAAAATAAAATTTTAAAATTTTAAAATATTTTAATCATTTTTAATTAAATATTAATTTAAAATTTCATATTTGAGATAATTTAAATACATCAAATATTTTAAGTCAATATTTGAAAAAAGGGGCAGGTTGACCCAAACCCGAATAGTGTCGAGTCAATTTCAAGTTCAACTCGAACCTGACCTGTGACCCGAAATTGACACCCCCTATGATCAAGAGGTCTTAAAAAAGGTCATGGGTGTGGTGGAAAGGTTTGGGAGGGGTCCCAAGGTCAAATTCCACTTGATGGAGGTTTCAATGACATATGTTATAAATATTTGAATGTTTTCGAGCATGTAGAAAATGATTCAGTTTCTAGGGCTAGGGACCTCATAATGGGTTCAAATTTCGCAGGTTGACCCTAGAGACATGTCTAATCAATATGTAACTGATAGATCTTTAATCGTAGGTCATTTGATTGAAATTCCATGTGATATAAAGTTCACCCATAAAGGGTTTCAAGACCTGGGTTCCTTATAACCCTAGGATTTGACTTGGAAACATGGATCTAGATTGAATTATGGGATTGAATGGTTGAGTTTGAATCATCCACATCAATGATAAGCAAATGAATGTTTGAGACTGATGGGATAAGATTTGAAGGTTGATTAAAAATTGGTAAGGAGCTTAACTGAATTGAAAGGTAGGGTTGGATTTGATCAGGCTTGGATTTGGCATTTAAGTGGGACCTACATGTCTGAGAAGTAGTCATCCTCCAGTCACTAGGTCACCATCCAAAAATCTAGGTAGGTTCCAGTGACCTTATATAAAAATGAGGTCAACATATATAATTAACTATGAGGGTTTGTGCTCGTAAAAGATTTAGAAATCCATATCAAACAAAATTTTCAAAACCAAGTTTTCAAAATTCAATTAATTATCTGTGGAAAAATCAAATTTAACGATCA